GACATGGAACACAATACAAGTTCCGCATCGACAACTCAAATTCTCACTTTCAATCCGCGTTACTTCCACAACCCGGCCTTGACTGACGTAATCGTTCAAGAGGCCGAGAGTTCTTCAAGCTTCAGCATATCGAATTGCGATGCGAGACAGCTCAGGGTACGAAGATCCCTATAGAGCCACAAGAAACCGTGGCACCAGATCTGGTCGCCCCTGACTCGACAAGCTCGTCCCCATTGCGACCTGACACAATAGCAAGCAAAATGGAGATCGATACGCCTCTTTCTTCTTCGCACCCGATATGGGGCCAGCCCGCACAGCGTGAGCCACAACAACCACAACATTCACAGGCGAGAGACCCTATACGCCAATCGATACAATCAAATACATCTCAACCACCAGTAGCGACACCGCGGTCCCCAGTTGATCGACACGATGCGACTCCATACAAAGGTCCGGCTACGATCCCATCGCAGATGTCTCCACAAGCTGGGCAACCACAGTCTGAGTACACTGTTGGAAGCTCAATTCGAAATGATCAGTCTTACTCCACGGTAAATAGTCGTCCAGACGCATATAAGTACCCTCGGGATCCGCGCGATGTATACTTTGATGCCATCGAGCGCTTGCAAACGCAAACATCACAAAACACAAGCGCATTAGCTGCGCAAGCCCGTACTCAAGTAGAGGCTGCGTCTCTTGTAGGGCAAATTGAGAACAGTCTCCGTCGCGAGCTGCAGAGTCAACTCCAACGGCAAGATCAAGAGCTGCGCAGAATGAGTGATATGGTCAATCAACTGGTCGGAGAGCTTGCCGAATGCCGCCAGACTATGATGGGCCTTGCACACGAGGCACATGTTGCCAGGACCGAAGGTGTGCGGCGTCCCAGTGAAGCGGTGCAGCCTGGGTACCAGGATGACGCGCTTGAGCTGATGGCACAACGAATCGGAGAAATTTCACATAGGACGACCGATCTAGAAACACTGAGAGATCATGTTGCCATTCTGGGTGGAAAAGTCCACCGGCTTGAGACTGAGACGGCTGCCACTCGCCAGCCGCAACCGCATCCACAATACGCTGCTCAACAGCAGCCTACACATCTACCGCAGACTGCTCATCCAGCTCCACCTCACCCATCTCAGCCATCCGCATACCAGACACCCGCCCATCCAACTTCGATATCACAGCCTACGCCTACTCACGAGACACCTGCCCCTGCAATGGTTCCCGAGAGCGCTCACAGACATGAGGCTGTGCCAGGTCAGACTGGATGGGCAACAGTAAATGCTGGGGTAAAGAGAGTGTTTGAGAGTGGCACAGGGAGTCCACGCCAAGGCAGTTCTGTACCTGGATCTCCCAAACGCCCCAGGCTGGTCAATGGTGAATCTCAAGATGGGTCATCGATGTCAAAGCCTCCAGAGCCATCGCATATGTTGCCATCTCAGACACAGCCTATTGTTACTTCGCAGCCTCTGACACAGCCCGGATCATATCCAGGACCATCGCAAGGAGTGTATCCAGGAACGCAGCCAGCAGCACATCCAGCAGCGCACCAAGGGTTACCACCACCGCAGCCCCATCTGCATTACGGGGTACACGACAGTCCGTCAGATCAAGGCTGGCATCCTGAATCTCAGCGCATGGTCGAATCGCGCCCAGCTCGGGGTAGAGGCTCAAGAGGTGGACGAGGACCAGGCAGTAGGGGCGGACGAGTACGTAAGAGTATGCAGGGACAACATCATTCTGTTGGGACTCCAGAGTGGGAACGAGATCAGTGGTCAGCTGTGCCTAATTCACAGGCCAGCCCAGGCGTCTACGAAGGTCACCCAGCACATCCAACTAGAAGCGTGGTGCGGCGTGGTGGCGGCGGAGCCAGTTTGTCTCGTGTTGGTTCATTCTCCGGCGACCGGCCGAACGAGTGGACCCCAGAGATCGGACCTCGTACGGTCTATCACATCCAAGACTCGCCCATCGAAATCAAGAAGACAAGGTCCAAACCAATCCGTAATGAGGACGGAATCCTTGTTCGGAAAGATGGCCGGCCTGATAGGCGCTCACAGTCATCCGCTGCCAACCTCAGGAAGGTACATGCACGCAAAGAAGAACAGCAGAGGGACACAGAAAGACTGTCAACCCCAAGTCGTCTTCATCCGACGTCTACTGAGCCGAACTCGGCAAGTCCATCGTCACACGACCATCAGCTTGATCCAAACGTGACGGACAGTGTACGTAAGAAGCATCATGATATCCTTGGCAAGATCTTTCCGGATGGCATAGAAGACTCACGGAAGCAGCACGACTACGCACACCAAGTTTTCAACGAGGATCAGGATCACACGGCCCACCCACGCTCACAGGTGGCCAGAAGTGGGATCCCCCCGATAAAGATCAAGAAGGAGCATTCCGAGCGCAGAGAGGTTCCTGAGACACAATCTGCTACCAACGGCGACGTTGAGATGGGCGATGATGCGGCTCCCATGAATAGGAACGGGCGTGACGAGAGCCAGGCACGGTCTGGTGAAGCAGCTCATGTCCAGGGGCAAGGGGAGAGTCAAAAAGATGTTACTGAAGAGAGCAGGGTGCAAATTCCAGAGACCCAAGCTACTGATGACTCAGCCACGCTTGCAGCCGAGTCGGTAGAAACGGGCTAAAGCGAACCTGTGCCGTTCAAGAGCCCTCAATCTTAGCTATATCTACACGTGAGCAGGACTCGTTCACAGGAATATTGATAGCATCTCAAATAACAGATGGTCGTTAAAATAAATATTGGTAGCATCATATCACTTGTAAAAGACCCATACAATGCTCTATAACTCCATGTACACAAAAAAATCAAAGGTCTCATAGGGTCAGCGAACTACACCAGCGTGCTGAATTCGAGACAGAACTCCTCACCGCGTGTCCACCCCTCTTAGATGAATCGAATCCCCAACGAACGGATAATTCTGGTATCCATCAAATGCCACCACATCCAGCTCCTCCAGCCTGATACCCCTAAACATACGAACCTACAATCATCAGCCGCTCATCCCCGAGCCAAGCGCTCAAGCACCCATCAAACTCACATTCGCCCCCAACAGGTCCGGCAAATCCTCTCCCAACACCCTCAGCCGCGGATCATCCCACACGCTACTCCCACACTGCGCACAGAACGGATGCAACAGCTGCTTCTGCCCGAAAGAACGCGACTTCAGTGTCTCTTCGCCTTGGTGGATGACTACGTCCTGCCGCCGTGGGTACAGCAGCAGGTATCCGTTCTTGGTGCAGATGGTACAGTTGCAGCTGCCGACTTTTTGGAGTGGTAGGGGGCGAGAGGGTTACAGTGTATTGGACCGAGCCGCAGTGGCAGCTCGCAGCGTGGGTGGAGGTGTGGGAGGGGTCGAAGGTGGGGAGGCTAGAGAGGAAAGCTTTTAGGTGTCGCTCAGGGTGGCCATGGTCGCCTTGAGATCTCTGCTCGTTGAGCGGTTCCTGAGATGGGTACGTTTTATGTATGCGTAGTGATGGCCTCGTGGGGCCGATCCGGCTGATGTGGGTCAACAAAGTTATCACCAGGTCAGCTCTGCACAGGCGAATCGAAATCGCGGGAATGCGAGCATGCTTCTTCGTATCATTGGAGCGGTAGTGAAGTCCGTTGAATTGATGTGGTCATGCCGCTATTGTGGGTGGATGACACACGAACGACTCCTCTGAGAAGAGGACGCTGGTAGCTCCTTTTTTGTAAAGAGCGAGGTTATATTCCGATTCACTACTGCTCGAGATTGGGGTAGACTTTGGATTTGGCATTTTGCCTTCTTAGTTAGACTACTCAGTTGGACTTCTTCCCTGCAGCCTCCAATATTATTGCCTTTCCTACCCATTGCAACCTTTAACAGCCTAACTTTCTTCTTGTTTGAGTCTTGATTCCTTGCACCGGTTCTGCCATACGCTGGCAGTAATCTCAGCGCTTTCCTTGAGCAATTTCCAGATCTTGGCTAGTTCAGTTTAGTTCTATTCCTGATTTCTTCAACTGTATACTTATTAACATTATTGATATAAATGCAACACTATATTCAAGAGCTCATCGGATGTTGTTCTGAAGGGAGTTCGCCATGTTTGTGTCGGTGTAGGTGAAGGGTTGTCGCCCATGCTAGAGGCTTAGTTGCACCATAACTTTTTTTCTCGCTATTCTGTGTAAGTAATGGATTTGCTTATAGACGCATGATTAGCAAGAACACGGCTTGGGTGTAGAAGTAGAGTGTTACTGTTGGTGCCTAAGATTCTGTGCGGCTTGCGATAGATCCAGGCTTTGCTGTACAAATCAAATTCGAACGAACCGAACGAGTTATGAGCGTACTCGGTTTCTTCCAGCTCGCGAATTTGCAGATTCAGCAAAGCGGAACAAACTTCCCAGAGAGATAGACAACATGTACATTATTTCTTCAAAGAATGTGGTTCAATAGCGTCTATAGCAGCCCAAAAATGCAGCCAGGGATACTTTGTGGTCAGTTGAGTCGCAAGAGTTGCCGAAAATCGTTGTTGTAGTTCGCGAGGCTCTACGGCTCGGTTATCACGGGTCAGCAAAATTTGGCTTCCTCACTATTGCACGTCAAAAATAGTGGCAGATAAGACCTTTGCCTCGTGGAACTCTACCTGCCTGCGCACTGTAAGTTTAGCATTAGAGGACTACAAGCAAGCCAGGCAGACAAGTTAGTATAGGTTTTCTAACTTGTGGTCTTTAGAACCTAAATTTAGGCTACAATTGTAGAGCGTTTTTGTTGTCAAGTAACTCATTATCTGCAGCTTTCTTTAGCGCGCAAGAGCTCAGCACTACTTAAGCAACTTCCGACTAAAATATATATAGTGACTCCTTCGTCATGTATCAATGCTTGACGTGGTTGGTATTGCCCCACTCACACAGATTTAGAGGCCGGGTTCAAGAACTTCTTTTCGCACACCTTTTTGCTATCATGTGTCGTGATTTAGATATCAATCATTTTCCTATCTTCTCAACAACAACAAGCAATGGGCGCTTGGTCTAGGGGTATGATTTTCGCTTCGCATCTACTTGATGAGCCTGTGAAAGGTCGTGGGTTCAATTCCCACAGCGTCCAGTCTTTTTGCATTCGCAGGGGCGTTGGAGTTCGAGTTTTTACGAACATCTACTCCACCGTGGACTTTTTTTTTTGCTCTCCTCTCATGACTCTTCCCAAACAAGCTGTGGTTGTTGGTGGTCCTGCGGTCCTGGTCCATCTATCATGGTGGGATTTGATGTTGCACTACTTATCGTAGGGGGCATAATCATACAGCCTTGGATACACCCGCGTCATGAAAAAATTGTTGGGACAAACCATATTGGGGCATACTATGATGCTTTGTGGCTGCTGGTACACTGCGAATGAGTTGCATATTCAGGTATTTCTTCTCCGTCGATCCCTTTGCGCTGCGCACCGCAGTATGTCTTGTTCTCGAATATCGATACGAGCATCACTTCAACGTTGAACGAAACATCAACGCCCTTCAAGTCTGCAATACGAAAGCCATGCTGCCTGATCGATGTAGGCAACAACGATGGTGGCAACACGACTGCAGCTGAATGGCGAACCTTCAGCCCTCGCTTCGCTCGGCTTGGTTACACATGAAGGCAGACGAATAACAACGTAGCACGGCAGCTTTGCAGCCTAGAGCTGCTTCTGACTGGTAAAGGTAAGCAACCTCACATAAGAAACCTGTTTTCCTTCTAGGTTTTCTTTCATCAACACGATCTCCTCCGATATTTGCTCTTGATTCGACTCTCTTTGCGTCTATGAGCACTTGCACCAGAGACGAGTGGACTTTCGTTGTGCCAACTACTCAGCCTCAGCTCAGCATGGATATGGCCGCTTGCGAAAGTCCCACCAATGCTGAAGCGCCTGTTCAGGACTCCACCATGGACAACGAGTCTGGAACTATCAAGGACAAGAACAAAGACGGCTGCAATTGTGAGAACAATGCAACAATTCGCCGTGAAGACAGTAAGGGCTCGATCGACGAAGATTACTGCCGTCCCCGTCGCGCAAACCGTAGACGTCCCACGTCTCCAAACTACTACCCGCCACCGGTTCCCATCTACTCGCCTGCACCACCGATGCCTTTCCCGTACGAACCCTCGAGAATCAGCTCATCAACGCAACTGCTAGATCAATTGGGCAAAGAAGATGGAGTCTTCGAACTTCCTTACCCGGTAAACGGTAGGGTTTACCTCGCCACATATCCCTTTGGTGACAGAGACGTCCAGAAATGGTCATGGCTGTTCGCAGCGGACATCGAAGACGAGTACATTGTACGCGACTCGGAGGAACAAGCGCGCCCAAGCCGCGGCAGTCGACATCAGTACAACGCCAGGGATGAAGATATGTCGTCCGTGTATCTCTCGCGCGCACTAGACGTGAATGTGGTGCCGGAAGACAGCAAACACAGCGTGCGTTTTTTCATCGTGACCGAGAATCCCGGTCGGCTGTCCGGGTTCAAGTTGCTTGTGGCGGAGTCGAGGAAGGCTGCCAGTTTGCTGATATACTATGAAATGTTGAAGGGGGACTCGGTGTTGTTTGTTGGCGCAATGGTGCATGAATGCAAGACTGGTCGTCCCAAGAGGTACAAGAAGGTCAACAATCTGGAAGAAGCGGCTGCTCTATACAACAAAGGGGCTGTTGGCGTCATATGCTGAGGGGAGGCGTCCGTATGTCTCGTATACCATACCGGCCATGAAATCCCCTTCTTTCCGGACTTGTGTTCGAGGGCTACTGAAAAGAGGTTTACATTTATTTCGTAGCAGCAATAGTTTATTTCCAGGGTTCGGTTCAGAAGGTCTGCCACAATATGCAAGCAAAAGCAGTGAGAATAGGTCATTAAAAGTTCAACACAGAAGAGAAGGCTGTGACCGAGAAATTGTATAGACCCGGATAATATAGTGACGGTAATTTCGAAAGTAGGATAGCTGCTAACAAGAGGTGGGTCATCCCTGCAACATCTAAGGACACAACTCATACCTGCCTTCATCTACATTCAACAAACTATAAGACATATTATTGCAACAGGAATGCCTTCTTTTGAAGTACAGAGCTGCGACGAAGCAGAAATCTCCCGCGTCTTCGAGATAATCTCTCTCGCATTTGCAAACGACCACGAGTACTTTGACGCCATCTTCCCAGCCCATGACACACCGGAAGGACGCAAGGTTGGCACCGAGCGTATGCTGCAAATATTTCACGGCGATCCGTTCGGCAACTTCCTGAAAGCTGTCGACACCAAGACGGGTAAGATTGTTGGAGCGGCGAAGTGGAATGTGTACAAAGATGGCGAGATCCCTCCTCAGCCTGTGTTGGATGGCAACTATTGGGACAATGAAGAGGACAAAGAATTTGCACAGGCATTGTTCCGAGGATTCTTTGAACCGAGACAGAGGGTTATCGAGGAGACGAACGGAAACTTAGTTGGTATGTTCACGGGCAGCCCTCAACACCGATTGCAAGGCGCAACCGTTCTAAGATAAACAGCACTAGAAATGATGATGGTCGACCCTGCGTATCAGAACATGGGAGTTGGCCGACTTCTAGTCAAGTGGGGTCTTGCTCAAGCTGACGAACTCGGCGTCGACGTGAGTAATCAACTACAAGTGTGGCGACATTGCTGATCGTATAGGCTGTGGTTGAGGGCTCTGATCGGGGCCGAAAGCTATACGCCTCGGAGGGGTTTGACGGTCCCCATTACTTGGTGCCAGTGCCTGAGAAATTCTCTGCAAGACGCAAGCAAACGTACTGGTGGATGAGGCGACCATCGCAGAACAGAGTCAAAGCAACATCGAGAGTCCGATGACACTTGCAATAGACCGATTTGTGAGATCTCAAATGCATCTACAGCAAATAATAAGTAAATCGCGACTTTAGTAGCTACTTGATATATAGTAAGATGTGCAGGTCCGGTGAAACTGGGCATATGAGTGGTGTAGTTTAGTTTAGCGTGGAGGTCTTACAGTTACAGCACCTTGTCATGGCTAACTGAATTCCGAGGCTTCTTAGAGGATTCAATCAAGGAAAACAAAAGCGAGTGTGTAACCAATTAACAGTGTACCCATCTTAAACTTCTTCACAATTGCCTAGCACCCGCCAATGACACCTAAAGGACACCTAAATTTGCCAATCTTGCAGAGTGCTCGGTGTTCACTCGGTCGTGGTAAGGTGCCGTAGTTACACAGCATATCAGCCACGTTTTCTCTTTGCTTCTTCTCAGTTGAATCTTTCAAAAGCAAGCGATGGTCGCCAGCGAAGTGTTGCAGCACTCAGATGCGTTGTCATTCTAAACTTGGGTCGATCCGGATTTCCTTGAGAATGCAGTCTGCTTTTGCCCCCAGAGTCACCATCGTACGGCCCGACCGTGCTCTCCGAACCCATGTTCGTTGATCCGCCATCCATTCTGCTCGCCATGCGCATCTGGTTCCTCGCCACGTACTACGAGCCCGCGAACCAAACCTCAAAGCACATAGTCTGCTGCCTCTACAGGTGCAAATCTCCACCAGCCAACACATCCCCCAGAAAAAATGAGTAAAATTTGAAGAACTCGGCATCGAATGCCTTTTGCCAAAATTGAATACGAAAGACTGGGGCGGCTCGACCGCGCCGCAAGCCTCGATCTCACGGGCCATGCAGGTACCCCGGCTCGTGACAGGTGTAGCATGCAGGGACCCTCCTTTATCACGGCCGCAGTTCCTCTTTCTCTGTTCCACACTGACCCGTCGACTGGGACTCGGAGTCCATCCTGGAGGTAGCTCGCGTGCGATAAGTTCACCGGATGGACGTGCCCACCTCGTGTAATTGTAAAATTAGCTGATGGCGCCAATAAAACGAGCGGGTTATCAACGTTCCAGAAGAACGGCCTGCCGCTGTCACTATGTCACAATTGAGATGCGCTAGTCGAGGTTGTACGCGGCTGCATACGTAGGAACGCGCATAACGCCTACGCATGGAATCGCGATGAGGAAGTGTACCCACAGACTGTGCCGACTCCAGCACGCGGCAGGAGAAGTGGTCCAGTGTACCTACTGAATCAAGCCTAGCTGCTGGGGCGTCAGCACGGCAGAAAGGATCCCTGTATTATTAGGCGCGCAATTGAAACGGGAACTCCGCGCGGCATGCTTCCTGCCTCGCATTGAGTGTTACTGGATGTGGTTGTGCGTCCCTTCCTTCGTCAGCCTCTGGTGTGATTTGTGGATTATGAGGGTACCTGCCAAGAGGGTGACAGCCTGATGTACTGTAGGTATGATGCAGTGCATCATCCATCAGGCTGTCACCCTCATGCAGGCGAGACGCAACAGTGCATAGGTACCTGCACAAGCCACACCACTTTCACCACAAGTAGCTTGGCGTTGCGGCATGTTGTCCACAAGACGCAAGCAAGAGAAACATGCAGGAGAAGAAGGAAGAATGTCTCATGTTGTATCTTGTAATTTTTGGCTGTCTAATACCTGCGTAGGATTTCTATAGACAATGAGAAAAGCAAACTCCCGCTTTTCAGGAATAAGTCGTGAAGGAAATGTTGATGGCTAACGATAGACTGAACAAGCATGACTGACTGGTGGCCGAAGCCATAGAAGAAAATATTGTGAGGGAGAAGCGGAAGTCGATACAGCTGCTCAGGTCAAACACTTTGGTCCTTCGCGCTGTCCGTCCGGCACTGTGAGAGCATTCTTTTGTGATGTCTTTCACATCTCAATTTGTGGCGGTGCAATCAAGATCGCATTTCTCGCCTGGTGTCCTGAGCGTACACCGCCCGGAAGGCCCAGAAGCACCTTCTGCATGGTCGATGCAACAAGCATCGTCACCGCTAATTCCGCGGCATGCCGGAGAAGGTGCCTGTGCGTTTTCGCACCGCCCGCTGGTAGGACCCAGGCGCTCAGTGTAAAACAGTCCTGTCTGATTACGATTTTCAGATCTTAGAATCAAAGTCTGGAGGGTGCAAGCCCAGTCCTCCTCTTGCATGTGTACTCTTTGGATCCCAGTCTACACGAGGAAATCCTGCAATCGAATCCTGAGAGAATGGTCGTGGTGTCGAGTAGCTCTGGGTAGGGCTCCTGTACGGC